ACTCCAAAAGTTTCAAGTCTGAAGCCTTGCCGATTTGTCAGCATGTTGGCCTATTCATCCGCTATCCAACAAGCTAAAGTTTGTCAAAATCCATCCATGTTAAGGTACCTCTAGACCCAGACTCATGAGAGCCATGTCGGCTGGCGCTGACAGCCCTTGCTATGGGACTTACTGCACAAAAACGAAACTGGGGGCATCATGTACCTACATCTGGGGCTCACTCCAAAAGTTTCAAGTCTGAAGCCTTGCCGATTTGTCAGCATGTTGGCCTATTCATCTGCTATCCAACAAGCTAAAGTTTGTCAAAATCCATCCATGTTAAGGTACCTCTAGACCCAGACTCATGAGAGCCATGTCGGCTGGCGCTGACAGCCCTTGCTATGGGACTTACTGCACAAAAACGAAACTGGGGGCATCATGTACCTACATCTGGGGCTCACTCCTAAAGTTTCAAGTCTGAAGCCTTGCCGATTTGTCAGCTTGTTGGCCTATTCATCCGCTATCCAACAAGCTTAAGTTTGTCAAAATCCATCCATGTTAATGTACCTCTAGACCCAGACTCATGAGAGCCATGTCGGCTGGCGCTGACAGCCCTTGCTATGGGACTTACTGCACAAAAACGAAACTGGGGGCATCATGTACCTACATCTGGGGCTCACTCCAAAAGTTTCAAGTCTGAAGCCTTGCCGATTTGTCAGCTTGTTGGCCTATTCATCCGCTATCCAACAAGCTAAAGTTTGTCAAAATCCATCCATGTTAAGGTACCTCTAGACCCAGACTCATGAGAGCCATGTCGGCTGGCGCTGACAGCCCTTGCTATGGGACTTACTGCACAAAAACGAAACTGGGGGCATCATGTACCTACATCTGGGGCTCACTCCAAAAGTTTCAAGTCTGACGCCTTGCCGATTTGTCAGCATGTTGGCCTATTCATCCGCTATCCAACAAGCTAAAGTTTGTCAAAATCCATCCATGTTAAGGTACCTCTAGACCCAGACACATGAGAGCCATGTCGGCTGGCGCTGACAGCCCTTGCTATGGGACTTACTGCACAAAAACGAAACTGGGGGCATCATGTACCTACATCTGGGGCTCACTCCAAAAGTTTCAGGTCTGAAGCCTTGCCGATTTGTCAGCATATTGGCCTATTCATCCGCTATCCAACAAGCTAAAGTTTGTCAAAATCCATCCATGTTAAGGTACCTCTAGACCCAGACTCATGAGAGCCATGTCGGCTGGCGCTGACAGCCCTTGCTATGGGACTTACTGCACAAAAACGAAACTGGGGGCATCATGTACCTACATCTGGGGCTCACTCCAAAAGTTTCAAGTCTGAAGCCTTGCCGATTTGTCAGCATGTTGGCCTATTCATCCGCTATCCAACAAGCTAAAGTTTGTCAAAATCCATCCATGTTAAGGTACCTCTAGACCCAGACTCATGAGAGCCATGTCGGCTGGCGCTGACAGCCCTTGCTATGGGACTTACTGCACAAAAACGAAACTGGGGGCATCATGTACCTACATCTGGGGCTCACTCCAAAAGTTTCAAGTCTGAAGCCTTGCCGATCTGTCAGCATGTTGGCCTATTCATCCGCTATCCAACAAGCTAAAGTTTGTCAAAATCCATCCATGTTAAGGTACCTCTAGACCCAGACTCATGAGAGCCATGTCGGCTGGCACTGACAGCCCTTGCTATGGGACTTACTGCACAAAAACGAAACTGGTGGCATCATGTACCTACATCTGGGGCTCGCTCCAAAAGTTTCAAGTCTGAAGCCTTGCCGATTTGTCAGCATGTTGGCCTATTCATCCGCTATCCAACAAGCTAAAGTTTGTCAAAATCCATCCATGTTAATGTACCTCTAGACCCAGACTCATGAGAGCCATGTCGGCTGGCGCTGACAGCCCTTGCTATGGGACTTACTGCACAAAAACGAAACTGGGGGCATCATGTACCTACATCTGGGGCTCACTCCAAAAGTTTCAAGTCTGAAGCCTTGCCGATTTGTCAGCATGTTAGCCTATTCATCTGCTATCCAACAAGCTAAAGTTTGTCAAAATCCATCCATGTTAAGGTACCTCTAGACCCAGACTCATGAGAGCCATGTCGGCTGGCGCTGACAGCCCTTGCTATGGGACTTACTGCACAAAAACGAAACTGGGGGCATCATGTACCTACATCTGGGGCTCACTCCAAAAGTTTCAAGTCTGAAGCCTTGCCGATTTGTCAGCTTGTTGGCCTATTCATCCGCTATCCAACAAGCTAAAGTTTGTCAAAATCCATCCATGTTAAGGTACCTCTAGACCCAGACTCATGAGGGCCATGTCGGCTGGCACTGACAGCCCTTGCTATGGGACTTACTGCACAAAAACGAAACTGGTGGCATCATGTACCTACATCTGGGGCTCACTCCAAAAGTTTCAAGTCTGAAGCCTTGCCGATTTGTCAGCATGTTGGCCTATTCATCCGCTATCCAACAAGCTAAAGTTTGTCAAAATCCATCCATGTTAAGGTACCTCTAGACCCAGACTCATGAGAGCCATGTCGGCTGGCGCTGACAGCCCTTGCTATGGGACTTACTGCACAAAAACGAAACTGGGGGCATCATGTACCTACATCTGGGGCTCACTCCAAAAGTTTCAAGTCTGAAGCCTTGCCGATTTGTCAGCATGTTGGCCTATTCATCTGCTATCCAACAAGCTAAAGTTTGTCAAAATCCATCCATGTTAAGGTACCTCTAGACCCAGACTCATGAGAGCCATGTCGGCTGGCGCTGACAGCCCTTGCTATGGGACTTACTGCACAAAAACGAAACTGGGGGCATCATGTACCTACATCTGGGGCTCACTCCTAAAGTTTCAAGTCTGAAGCCTTGCCGATTTGTCAGCTTGTTGGCCTATTCATCCGCTATCCAACAAGCTTAAGTTTGTCAAAATCCATCCATGTTAATGTACCTCTAGACCCAGACACATGAGAGCCATGTCGGCTGGCGCTGACAGCCCTTGCTATGCGACTTACTGCACAAAAACGAAACTGGGGGCATCATGTACCTACATCTGGGGCTCACTCCAAAAGTTTCAGGTCTGAAGCCTTGCCGATTTGTCAGCTTGTTGGCCTATTCATCCGCTATCCAACAAGCTAAAGTTTGTCACAATCCCTCCATGTTAAGGTTCCTCTAGACCCAGACTCATGAGAGCCATGTCGGCTGGCGCTGACAGCCCTTGCTATGGGACTTACTGCACAAAAACGAAACTGGGGGCATTATGTACCTACATCTGGGGCTCACTCCAAAAGTTTCAAGTCTGAAGCCTTGCCAATTTGTCAGCATGTTGGCCTATTCATCCGCTATCCAACAAGATAAAGTTTGTCAAAATCCATCCATGTTAAGGTACCTCTAGACCCAGACTCATGAGAGCCATGTCGGCTGGCGCTGACAGCCCTTGCTATGGGACTTACTGCACAAAAACGAAACTGGGGGCATCATGTACCTACATCTGGGGCTCACTCCAAAACTTTCAGGTCTGAAGCCTTGCCGATTTGTCAGCTTATTGGCCTATTCATCCGCTATCCAACAAGCTAAAGTTTGTCAAAATCCATCTATGTTAAGGTACCTCTAGACCCAGACACATGAGAGCCATGTCGGCTGGCGCTGACAGCCCTTGCTATGCGACTTACTGCACAAAAACGAAACTGGGGGCATCATGTACCTACATCTGGGGCTCACTCCAAAAGTTTCAGGTCTGAAGCCTTGCCGATTTGTCAGCTTGTTGGCCTATTCATCCGCTATCCAACAAGCTAAAGTTTGTCAAAATCCATCCATGTTAAGGTACCTCTAGACCCAGACTCATGAGAGCCATGTCGGCTGGCGCTGACAGCTCTTGCTATGGGACTTACTGCACAAAAACGAAACTGGGGGCATCATGTACCTACATCTGGGGCTCACTCCAAAAGTTTCAAGCCTGAAGCCTTGCCGATTTGTCAGCTTGTTGGCCTATTCATCCGCTATGCAACAAGCTAAAGTTTGTCAAAATCCATTCATGTTAAGGTAACTTTAGACCCAGACACATGAGAGCCATGTCGGCTGTCGCTGACAGCCCTTGCTATTGGACTTACTGCACAAAAACGAAACTGTGGGCATCGTGTACATACGTCTGAGGCTCACTCCAAAAGTTTCAGGTCTGAAGCCTTGCCTATTTGTCAGCTTGTTGGTCTATTCATCCGCTATCCAACAAGCTATAGTTTGTCAAAATCCATCCATGTTAAGGTACATTTAGACCGAGACACATGAGATTCATGTCGGCTGGCGCTGACAGCCCTTGCTTTGGGACTTACTGCACAACAACCAAACTGGGGGCACCTTTTTCCTACGTCTGGAGCTCACTCCAAAAGTTTCGAGTCTGAAGCCTTGCCGATTTGCCAGCTTGTTGGCCTATTCATCCGCTTTCCAACTCACAGTGCAGCCTTTGATTTATTGAGCTAACTTTTACTTTAGCGGAATATTTTTGCATTATTGAAAAATTCAGAAAATAACTCAAAAAAAGAGACAGTTTAATGAAATTTTCACTTTTGCTGTTGATCTGGCTTCTTGGGACACATCTTTTATTGGTCTTGCCAACATTTATAGCGTAATCGGTGTATATGTACACTAGTTTTAGTAAATTTAGAAACTTCTTTTTAAATAATCAAAATTTACCAAATGTTAAGGAGGAATGGAAATGGAAGAGGTAAAATCAAGCTTCAATTTGATGTGTGTGTTTTCATTTTTTTTTTCAAACAAAAATTAGCCTTGAAGTTGAACATTTTGGAGAACTGTTCCCGGTTTTTGTAATGTATGCGCTGCTGGCTAAATTTAAAATGCGCCACGTTTTGATGCTAGCGCCCCCACTTGGCAAAATTTAATGGCTGTTTCGATACGTGACCGGACCATGGCTGGATCTGAAACTGGCTACGGCTTTTGACCGTTATTATAATGCCAAAAACTGAAGTCGTAGCCAATTCATCAAACGCGGAAACCACCCTTTTGGAAATTCTACTGGTCACCATTGTCATAATAAGTGAATTAGAAGTATAAAGAATACTAAGTACCAGACATCACTGGTGTCGTAACTTTATCAATTTCTATCGCGTGTGAATGGGAGGGAACCATGGATCTTTCGCTCATACAAAATACAGTTGTAGTTGTACATTGTACAATAGTACGGATCGATCGTACGTACACGATTGTGCAAGATACCGCTGCGCACACACGTACACGAAGTCTTCGAAGTTTTCTGTGAACATTTTTCTCGGATATTAGCTAGTTGGGGATTCTTCAACAAAAACGGATCCATGGATCATTACTGACATTTTCACCCGTTCTTCCTCATAAGCAATCATGTGGTACCTGGTGAACTTCAAATATGCCGACGAATTCGTCACATTTTGGCTCACCGAATTCTTCCACAACTGGCCGCACGTTTCATACCTGGGCTTCGAAAAGATCAGCTCCACTTTCGAACCCTGGGAACTCAAATATGTCCAGGTAACTTCAGTTTTCCTTGTTTTTATTTTCAGATGGAAACTGACAAGTTTTGTTATGTAAGGGAAAAGAATGGTTGTGTTCGGTGTCTTCAAATCAGAGAAATTTGAAATCGGGAAATTGACGTCTGTCTAATTTGGCCGTCATGGCCGTGTTGTGCCGGACGGTTTGTTGATGATTCATGCTGGCTAATCTCCATTGATTACTTCACCCACTAAACTATTGTGCATTGTGATTGTTGTGTCGCGCTTGAATGGGCGGGGCCTCTTTCACTTTCATTCATAGTTTTGCGGATTACACACTTCAGCTGTAAGGAATATTACAAATATACGTACGTGCCAATGAAATGTGTGGTGGTGTATCTTATCACATCATGCATGTCATAAAAATCATTTAAAGGTATAAAACTACAGTACAACTACATCTACAACTTCAATATTTTTGAAAGTAAATTTGAATTTGCAGCCCCCAAACGTTGTGCACTTTGCCATGGAGATTTAAAAGAAAAGTGGCATTTATTTTTTAATTCCATGTTTTGCATATATCCGCATATTTTCAATAACTAAAATATTTTTTTAACAAATTTACATGAAGGCAACACAAATTGTAAATGATTTGTTAAAAATGCAAAGGAGTGCAAAAATAGTAAAGGGAATGGTCAATGTGAAGTATATTCATTGGTTTATTCATTTATATTTGGATGATTGAATATATGTTTGTGATTAGCAATTTAATGATAAGCATAATTCAGAATGGTGACAGAATTTTGGATGCTGAAATGTACCTTTTGACGCCAAGTGAAATTTTTCGGAATGAACATTTTGTCAAGTGATTTATTTTTATGTGCCAAAAAATATTACAATTATTTACCTTAATGGTGCAGATTTAAACATGTGTAATATCATATGGAGGCAGTTTGATTATGTTGTTTGTGGTAGATCGCACATGCTAGTTGGATAAATGCCAATTTTTAATTTTTGTCATTGCAAATTACATGACCAAAAAAAATTAATTTAGGATTGAAAAGCGCTTTCCTATTTTGTTAGATTTACTATGTTTACACAGAAAATATTCACAATTCCCCGAGCACTTTTCACACAAAGACCAAAGTGGCATCAGGATACTACATTATTTTGTGGAAAAACGATACAAGCTTGGAAAATAACATCTGCAAATATGGAAAAAATGCTGATGAAACGAAGACTACTTCACTCAGCATGTGGCAATATAAAACATACCTATGATCATTTTACCAGATTTCAATGTAGTTGGTTGTATATTGATTTGAAGAAAATGTCACTTTATTTTGCAGACCCTTATTTTCTGGGCAGCTATTCCAGTCTTATGGCTGCTAGCCAGCCTGTTGGTCCTTGTCATCTATGGAACGTGTCAGTGCTGTAAGAACAAGAAACGACGAGCCCACCCGGTGCCAAACCGAGAACAGAAGACGAAATGCTTGAAGTGCGGTGTAATTTTTATGGTGTTGCTTTGCGCGTGAGTAAACCAATTATCTTTTAAGCCCGAATTCGTAACAACAACAAAAAACAGTGACTAGGCCCAAATTCCTTTAGCAAAATAAAGTAAGCAAACAATAGTCGAAAACTACTAACCATTTATAAGCATATTTCAAGGGTAAGCTAGAAATGTTGGCTTCCGTGCTTAACGGGATATTCATTAATTAATACATGTATAGTGTACCTGAGACAGTTTTTGTCCATTCCTATTGGTCAAGAGCTGTGACGTGGGTGGTTTTAAACCGTGGATAAAATACTGGCAGGTTTAAACGCAGTTAATGCATTCTGTGCCACATCGTGCAGTACGCGCATTAATTACCATATAAGGAGATTTTTAGCACAATGCCCGCGAGGCACATACAACATACATGGCCCGAGGGGTGTTTCACAAAACATAAAGTAAAATTGTTGAACAAAATTGTTGGAAATTTGTCAATTATTAAACTTCTTTTGAGTTTTTGACCAAAAGGTACCGGTATTTATGAATGGGAATAAAGATGTGCTTGGCTGGTTTGAAACAAGTCCGTAAAAAAAATATGTATGTTTAAAACCAGCTAAGGGGCCAGGCCATGAATAATGGCTTGAGCTGAAGGCATATTTACGTGTATTCCCATAATTGTAGAGTTTCGTGGCTTGTCTTTTGCAAAAGCGCAAAATGGTAAGCATAGGCGCAGAGTTCTGTGGTTACCCAAGACATTGATTTATGTAGAGATGTAATTTTCCATTTCAGTTATTTTCCATCACAGGTAGTTTTCAACTGTAATTCATTACAGTCCATTTTCCATTACAGAACGTTGTACATGTAGTTCCAAGAAGAAAAAAAATTGATTGTGGAATGCTACATGTAATTTTCCCCAAATTGATTGGAAACAAAATTTTCCCAACGAACGATGGAATTTCCCATTACATAGTTGCACAAGAATTATAAAGTAGTTTACAGTACTTGTGGAGTGAAGTACATATGTAATTGTGTATTTATAACTTGTTAAAATTAAATGTAACTTTACTGTACAACATACATACTGTACGTGTACATGTAGGCCTACTATGTGCATTTTATTGTTGCTGATGACAAAGCTAAACATTACATCAGTTTCATTGAGTGAAAAAAATATCTGACAATAATAATAATAATGGAAAGTTCTATAGCGCCGAATCCATTTTAAAAATACTCCCTGGCTGTCTACAATCAAAATAGTAAAAAGGAATATGAATTAAATTTAAAAATGTGATTATTTAAAAGTCAAAAATAGATAACATAACACGAAAACAGGGTGGATAGAAAAGAAAATGAAACCGAGATATCAAATGACACCACAAAAACCACAATTGAAAAGTGGCGCAATTCTCTAAATAGACCCTTTCATAAAATTGGTCACTGCTCAGTCAACCGTGAAGGTAATGACATGATCAGGGTGTCATTTTAATGAGGAGATTCAACCCGAACAGAGGATATCTCCCTTTGATTCACTCATTCACATGTGCCCTACTTCTGTTCCAATTAGCAATAATATCTTGGTTTCGTGTTTTTTTAATCCACCCTGTATAGTATGGTAATTAAAAAGCCTGAACCACATACATGTACATGTAGATCATGTACAATGTACCCCCGGACAGAACAGACAACAACAGCCCCCTCCCCACAAGCTTGACCAAATCAAACAATTTATAGGAATTACAGTACATTACAATACATTGTACATACTGAACTATCAAAAATCCAAGCTTTTGGTTTGGTAAGCACTGAGCCAAATGTGGGAATTTTCGCATTTATATACGGAAATCGTTCTGCCAGTCTGCCAAGTAATTTATGTCACAAGGTTGACCCTTGGACTTGTACACATTGTTGACCCATACTTACAGTATACATGTAACTGCAAGGTATATTGTTAGTACAAGTCTCACACATGATACAATGTGGACAGTGTTTACAATAACATAGCCCCATGAGCCCCTGGCCATGGCCTTTTTTGCATCCTTTCAGATTAAATCTCAGAAGATTGTTGCAGTCATTCAACAGAATTCTTACCTGATTATGTCCTGCTTGGTCTGTTCAAATTCCATCATTGGAGGCTAGGTACACCATTGATTCACAGCGAAAACTTTCTTTAAAACCTATAAAAAAACGTGAGAGATTATTTTATTTCCAAAGTAACCAATACATTTAGAATCAAAATGTTTAGAATCAATGGATTCCAAATAGTTTATTCCAAAATAACCACATTCTCAAAGTGTTTCAGAATTTGTCAGTTTGCTTGAAATCTGTTACTTTATGTAGTGTGGAGAACTTGAGTTAATTTAATTACCGTTTAAACAAATCGCTGTATTTCTGCTACCTCAAGCTGAAAACAAAAGTGCAGTTTTACATCCTAAAAACCTAGGCCTATGCCTATATTTTGGCACTTGGAAAACCTTTAAAAACATAATTTTGATTTTCAAACCTATTAGGAACTAAAAACAGAAAACCAACTCCACAAGTCTAGTGGTGTGCGTTTACGGGTCGTACGGGAATCTGGTACCCTATTGAAGTAAAACACGGGTACCCGTGAAAGAAACCCAGCCCCAAAATCCAAATCCCAGAAGCTGTCTGAAGGGCTCTTAGATAGCCTTATTATGGGTGGAAACTACTTTCATGAGTGTCATCTCGCTTAAAAATTCACATAAACGTGAAGTCTGTGTTGCTTTTCCATGTACATCATAGCCTGGCTTTCAATTCTTTTTGAAAAATTCCCCACAAAATGGCATTCAAAACCTTTCTCTATAACTGTCTGAGAAGTTACTGAGCAATTTGTAAAGTTGGTTACGGGTACCCGATCCCATAATCTGGAACCGGTTCCTGACATCGGCGGTCGGGCACTCAGGTACCCGGTTCTGAAGTGGGTTTCCCAACCCTTTTTGCAGATACACATGAAGAAAAATGTGACTCCCCAAATCTCAACAAAATTTTAATTTGTGTGGAATTTGCCAGTCCCAGATGAAATGGATCTAATGCCTGAACTGTTCTTGCTCTACAACTCGACATTCAATCAGAAGTGCTTGTTATAATAATTGCAAGGCTGGTTTTGTCATTATCACCGCTGTGTCTGGGTCAGTTGGCATATTCTGCGGTGGAATTTCACCGATTGGGATGGATGGAGCATGCAGTGTGTGGAATTTATTATTTTAGGATACTGTGAAGTCATCATAACAGTGTCTTTATTTTTATATCGGTAGTCGTTGTCTAAACATGTTTTTTTCTTCTTCGAATCCCCCCTCCGCCTGAGTTGCACTGTAATTTGTTTTCAAAATTGGGAGTTATTTGACCAACTTGAAATCCCATGCTGTGAGGCCACTCCAGGCTAATTGGGCCCCCTGCTGTGGTCCCACACTGTTGTATGCACAGAAGTCAATCACTGTACAATGTATACATGTACATATCTCATCTATGATCACATTCATTGCTGTAGGATACAGATTCTGTGATCTTATCACACAATCCTCCATGTGCTTGTCAGTTTTCGTATCAATTATCAGATATCTTGACAAGAAGATGTAGTACATTCAGCCAGAGGTGCCCCATGTGAGATTTAAAGCTTTGCATGGTAGAAAATCTACTGCACTGAAATGAATACAAGAACCCCGAGAAATTTGTGGATGATACGGTAGGCCTACCGTGTGAATATCAAACATGTCTCTGAAGAAGTGTTTGCAGGTGTTTGTTTTTTTTGGTCGTATTTTTTTCAAACAGAATACTGACCGACCTGCGAGAAAAATATATTGAGAAATTGTTTTCTTACCGGTACATTTAGTTCTTTCGGTTTAATACATGTACATGTATGTAAACCTTGGCAATGAATTCTCGTTGCCTGGTACAGTCAATCAAAAACAATAAGCAGAGAGTGTTTTTGGTAAAAATGGGTAATTTTCCATATATTTACACACACGTACACATAAACTAGGAAATGCATCAAGTTATTAATTAAATTGAAGAATGATCAACTTCCAGTAGGCGTTTCCAAAAGTTGGCCCACTTCATTACAGTTAATTACTAAACAAATGTATGAAACCAAATTTCGTATTTGTAGCTTACACTATTGTTGTGTACATACTACCGGTGTATTGCATAACTGTCAGGAAATGCATTTATCGTACCAATGTTCACTATAAATTGTAGAATTTCTATTGCATTACATGTGCATTGTATGCGCTCGCCTGAGACTCATTACTGTGAAATTGACAAGACCATGCATTTGTACATGTACATGTACATGGGAACCTGTCTTGTTTACAGTTGACCATGAACAAATAAATCTGGATGGCAGATTTGACCCGGTCATATGAGTTCAGGCAATCTTGAGCTTTTGTATCATTTCCTTTGTAGAGTTCGACATTCCATTGTTGCATGGACTGAGTGACATTTGAAAGACTAAATTTAGAAGGGTTGGTACATTTGGCATATGGTTAATTTAAATTCCATAATGTTTGTGAAGGGACAATCCTTGATCATAAATTTTACATCAAAGAAAACTTCATCTACATGTACATGTATGGTACATGTACGTACACGTATGGAGATGTAACTGACTTTTCCTTTAAAATGGCTGCTTTTGTCCTAAAATGGCAAGGCCAAGAAAAAAACACCTGTGATTTTACCCACTTGTCCACCCATCTATTACTGTAGTAAAAACAACCTTTCATTGTTCATGGCCTCAGGAAAAAATAAGAGTCACATTTTCTAAGACGTTTCCATTTCTCTACCTAGGCATATTCTTAACAGTTAAATGTTACGTTTGATAATCACATTCTTAGTCTTCAATAAGTGAACTCTCCACAGGTTTTGCAATATAAACGTTTGAGTTTTGAATCCTTTCAGGGCATTTGTGGGTGCTGGTTTATATGCCAACGAGACCACGGCAACCGGTGTGCAGCACCTGGTCCAGTCCGCGGAGGATGTCAACAGCACAATAAAAACAGCTGAAGGAGAGGTATACGGATGGATCTATTCTTGGTAGAAGGCTGAAGTTGTTTTTTATTCCCCTAAAGCAGCCTGTCATTGGCAAGCACTGTCAAGCTATTGAAGATGAACCAAATACACTCTTGGGAATTTGGGCACTAGATCAAATATAGCGCATGGGAGGTATGCTCAAGATGTAGTCTTGAACCTAACACTGGGTGGATAGCAGCGTTGTATGACTCGAGTCCAGAACTCGGACTCGATCCATCTTGAGTCGCCATTCAAATGACGCAGACTCAACAGCAGTCAAGCTGTAAAGACTCGGGCTCGTACTCAACTACATGTGTCAAAAACACCAGACTAGACACTGAGGACTTGCGAGTCTTACCGTACTTTGATATTAAAACTTTCCAAAACTGTCCTACACTAGTGTTTTTGTGCCAAAAGTGCACAGACCCATGTCATCTTCACATGAGTGCACTGCAAGGCTTTGGCACTGCATTCAAGTGTCGCGCCTAACTCTTTGTTTGTAACTGTGCTTGTGTACAGAGTGCACGAAATTCCATTCAGAATATACACCCAAAGTCTTTTTATTCATCTGAGCCAGATTTTTTAGCCCATTCATTGGCATTACAGGGTAATCCTATATGATAGCACTGCCCGGCTCACCAGTGTCAGTGAGATTGGTACAAAGATGATACTTGGCTGGTTTTCTGTGACCACGAAAAAAAATGTCAAACACTCTTCGGTGTTGTCACATAACTACAAACTATACCTAAACTCTTTTTTTTTTCATTGACAGATCTCCAAAATACAAACAGGCATCACAGTTGATCTCGCAGGCGAGGTCAAGGAGCTGGAAGATATCTTTCGCTTACCCAGCAGCAACGCCTCGCGGCAGCGCATGCTGCAGGAGACGACGCAGGTCCTGAAAAGCATGCTTGCGAAGGCCGGGGGAAACGTCAGCCATATCAGCGAAGAGTACAGCAACGGTCTGGATCTCAGCGGGGCCATAACGGACGTGCAGTATTACGAAACGTTCAGGTGAGATTGTGTAGCACGCCACTCAATGAAAGGTCTTGTTGCACCCTTCCACATTTGAGGTTGTGATGCTTATAGTTCTGAAGATGTTATGAATTTTTCACTTTTCAGCAATGTCCTCATTTCACATGGAATTGCCCGTAAAATTATTAGACCTATCCGCTCCGTGCACAAGTACCCCATCAACGACCAGAAAAGGAGAGTTGGGAGTGATCTAGACTGGTTCCCGATCCACCCACTGCGTATTTCGAATGTCTCCAAAGTTATTGGAGGCAGAGATTAGTCTCGGAGACCATCGCAAGTTGAATTCGAATGTTTTCGCGCGCCGACAACGCCTGACGCTGACGCGAAGACGCGGTTGCTATAGCTTTTGCACACTCAGGAAGTCATGCGTACTTTGCGCACGAACGCGCATACTGTGTCCCCCGTCCATGGAGCTCTCAAAAGAGGTAAAAACGCGCCCTCTTTTGGTCGCGCACGGAGCTCATAGTGGATAGCCGCTAGACAATCTTTTACACACCTTTACACACATCGTCTGTGCATGTCTTTGGTTGTAAATGTAATACAACCCAGACAGCCTAAATTTCCTTCAACACGTTCAAGCTGTGTCCACCTGTCTGACTAACATACACCTGACATTTTGTCTCAAGAATTATGCACATGGATTCTACTGACATACATGACACAGAACCCTAAATTTTAAGGAATGTGTACATTGGCCCGAGCCAGACTTGGTCTCAAATGTCACATCATACATGTACACTTAATTTTCAGAAAATCAAAGTTCAAACATAATGCAGAGGGCATGATTTTACACAAAAGGCTGCTCGAACATAATACATTGTTAGCAGAATCAAGGTTGGGCTGTTATGTGGGCCGTAACATTGTCAAATTCTGTCCCTAACTTTAGAATGGATACAATACGATATTTGAATGAGCATATCAATTTGTAGTTACAGTGGCCGACATAGAAATTGTACGATGTCAAAAAGCGTAATTTCACTCTGTGAGATGATACCGTAGAAAGGGCGTAACAGATTGAACGCTTGTAGTCAGAAACACTATACATATATGTACATGTACATGTACATGGACATTGAATGCAGACCTGTACATGTACGATAACTGTCTGCCTTTATGATAATGAAGGAATTATACACTTGTGAGCTTTTTTCCCCTTGAAACAAACAAGAAATTGCACAGTAAATTTTTGTGCAATTTCGTTGAAACAGACGTTGCATGAAATTCATGTTCAACTGCTGTGATTTTTTTTTGTATGGAAGTTGTGTCTACGCTGGGTACATGTACATGTATGACCAACATTAAAACCCTAACCCCCTAGGCCCTTTTTGCTTAGAACCATCCTCAATCCTCCAAAATTTTGCAACTCTGCCTAAATTTTTCAAAATTGTCAGACAGTCCTGCCTCAAAATGCATTCATCGTCAATCCTCCAAAATCCTCCTCATCCCAAAATTTTGCACTCGTGTTTAAATGAAGGATAACCAATGCCAAATCCTTCAAAATCATCAGACAGTCCTGCCTCAAAATGCATTCATCCTCAATCCTCCAAAATCCTCTTGTGCTTCAATCACCATTCATCCTCAATCCTCCAAAATCCTCATGTGCTTCAATCACCATTCATCCTCAATCCTCCAGAGTCCTCATGTGATTCAATCACTATTCATCCTCAATCCTCTAGAATCCTCCAAAACCGCCAGGAGGATTTTGAAGGAGTGAGGTGGGTTAGGGATAATTATTAAGTGACTGAAGTCACTGAACCATATAAAGTTGTCTCTATTTGGTAAAGGCAGGACACCTTTTTAAGCTCTGGCAGGAGTTTCTACATGTCACTTGGTGGTTGGTTGGTCGGTCAGATGGTCTGTCTGTCCGTCCTCTAATTCTACCTCCATGGTCTGTCTGTCCCCCAAATATGGATCAAAAGTATGGTGTTCCATACCTGTATGTGCCATCGGCTTCACATTTTTCGGCGTCGCATTTTTAAGCTCTGGCGGGGATCATTTTGATCGATTTCATGCAAGACTTTCATGCAAGACTTCTTGCAACATGGCCAGAGCTTATTGTGCACTCGCACTTGTTAGTTTGTTTGGAAAACAGATTTTGTTGTTCACGTCTGCATTCATCAGCGCACTTTGTAGTGCATATAGTTTTTAGTGCATATTTAGTTTTACACATATACCGTAATGGCGCTGAGTTCACATACATGTACATTTGTACATGAATTTATAATGTGCAGTATTGTGCACCAACAGAAGACACAATGAAGATTTTTTTCTCCAACCCAATATCTCTAACACTTGTCAAATGTACCCCCCACAACAACAAGAGTGCAAAATTCATCCCAATGTTTATATTTCTCTCGGGCGTTATCATTTTGAGGTCAAACCTTTTGTCTGAGCTATTGACACAAGATTAGGGTAAAACCTGTGGTACTGCCAATAAAGAAAGCCACACTCCTACAAATTTCCAGAATTGGACATTTTTATTTGCTCGTTGAAGTGTCTGACATTTTAAAAATTTGTCCAGAGTACACATGTGTGATGTGGTGCATGTTTGCTCAAATGCTTATGAATTTCTTTGAATTGCTGATATTTCTTATTGACACTGCAAAGGTTCACAGGACTTTTATTACGGTACATAACGGTACTGGATTTGCATGGACTTTTGGTGTTTCCTGATTGAAACCCAAAGCCTCAAACAATGGTGAATGTTTACGTATGACTCAGTCTCATGTGGCAAGCTTGTAATGGAAGTCTATTATCAATAGGAAAAATGTTACTTCCAACACACTTATATTTTATTTTTATACAAGTGTGTTGTGTTTCAAAATATATGGAGGATATTGTCAAGCTGATGACTAGTTACCGGGGTTTATAAATTATTTTTGTTGTCGGCAATCATAATTTAATTTTCTTTTGAGTGAATTTTTTTTTAATTGACAAATAACTGTCATGCGTTTTTAAAAGTTGTATAGCAAAGCACATTTTTGTATAGTAATCTGTAAAATATAAAAGTTAAAAATGCCTTGTATTTGGCAATAAGACAAACGAGAAATTGTGCACAGGACATGTACATGTGTACATACATGTACATGTACGTACATACACATGTACATGTACATGTAGGTCCTACAATGTACTATGTGCAGTAAATACAAGATCCCATTTAATATCGTGAAATTGCAGTATCTACATGTTCCTGTATACATGTATGTGTCAATGTTTAAATACACTGTACATGCTGTATGTACATTTCTGTCCCCTTTCGTCTCTCTTTCTAAGATAATTTTTGGTTCCTAATATTTCTCCTTTTTCGTTCAATTTAGGTGGCTTGGTCTGATTGGTGTCTTCTGTTTTGAGCTCGTCATCTGTCTGGTGGTACTGTGCGGAGCTTTCACGCAGAGTAGATGCGCCCACGTCAGGTAACAGAAAAAAATACTTTTTATCAAGTCAGTTATAAGCCAGTCAAAGGTCAGTCACAAGTAGGTCTCAAACCAGTCACAAGTCAATCACAAGTCTATTACAAGTCAGTCACAAGTCAGTCTCAAGCCGAACGCAAGTCCGTCATGAGTCAGTTGAAAGTCGGTCACAAGTCGGTCACAGGTCGGTCACAGGTCAGTCACAAGTCAGTCACAAGTCAGTCACAAGCCAGTAACAAGCCAGTCACAAACCAGTCACAAGTCATTCACAAATCTATCACAAGTCAGTCTCAATTAATTTAGGCAGAAGTTAGGCACAAGTCAATCACAAGTCAATCACAAGTCAATCACAAGTCAATCACAAGTCAATCACAAGTCAATCACAAGTCAATCACAAGTCAATCACAGGTCAGGCACAAGTCAGGCACAAGTCAGGCACGTCAATCACAAGTCAGGCACTAGTCAATCAAAATCAGGCAAGTATGTAATTGACTTGTAATGACTTGGTAACAGAATATGGAGCCAGCAATTTTCTATTCAGCAATGAAGTTTTTTTTCTCATGAGACACAACTTTAAAGTTTGTCACAAACATAAAAAGAACAGTCTCACATTTAATAGCATACACATTGTATTCCTTCACTGATTTAAAAAACCAAACCCTCCACGCCAAGATAACATGAACGTAGGAAACGAAACAGAACAAGTAAACCAGAACTACAAATGGATTTTACCAAGCAGGAACTACATGTATTTATGATGTCAATAAACTTGAAATGCCATCATTTTGCAACACACCCACTTCTGGGAAAGGAAAGAAAATGTTTTGAGAAAAATAAACACATTTTTGTTTACTTCAGCTGAACAAACGGGGCTCATTATTGGAGCTTCATGTAAAAAAAAATTTTGCTTTGTACCAAAACTAGGAAAAATCTACATTGCATGATAATTTAGCGAGTACATGGTTTTGTTTTTGTTTAATAGGCGTTTATTTTCTTTACATGTAGGCTATAGTTTGTGTTGTGACTTAAATAGTTTTTACCCAATTTTGTTACATGTACATACATGTTGATCAACTGCACCATATACGGGTACATGTGCTTTGCAGTGTACATACCTGTACATGTACATGTAAACAGACACAATTTCGTATTCAGTTATTCTAAAATTGGACAATGCGGTTTACCTTTACGTTTGGCAAATTGCCAATACCGCAACTTGAAAAGGGAAATACTGCAGTCTTTCGATTCTCGGATTCTGAATGTTTTGTCGTGTCGAGCTTGAGTTATAAATATGATTTATTTCCTTGTTCGTTTTTAGGAAAAAAACACCAAATTGTGCACGGTTTTTGAGTCAATTTGAGCCACAAACACATGTATGACAAATAAATTGGGCCGCCATATGCATCAAAATGTTCCCACACTACCGTAGGCCTACACTTAACCTCCCGAAGTAATTGTTTTATTGTAAGATCGAGTACGTTCAACCTTGAAATACGAATTCGCGGCATTTCAAGTTAACCTCAGCATTCTGCTGATTCACAAAATGTTATCTGTGGGTGAATAAACAATCTGAAAGAACCGCAACAGATCCACATGTACATGCACATGTACCGGTGCATACACTTGTACATATATACATGTACATGTGTGATGATACACATATTGTGACCTTGTATCCCACTCGGAATTGCATTTCATAAAATTCAGATCCATGGCATTGGAATACATTATCATTTGCATCTAGTGCAAACTGCAAGTAACTGACTACATGTACATTTGCTTGAAACAAAATGTGCAATTCGTGGTTCACATGGGAGGATTTTTCTTAATCAGCAAAATATTAGTTGATGTTTCTTCTTCTTTCTTTGGGGACAAAAATATACATTTGTACACAATTGTGGGTGAATATTAGCGCCAGAAGCATTTCAGTCTGTAGTTTTTGGGGTATTTGGGGGCTATAAAACTTTTTTTGAGAGGGGGGATGGGGACAAATGATACTTTTCAACAAATTACTGTACCAACTTATTTCGGGGGATTTAACTTTTGAAATTTTTCTGAAATTATGATTTCAAATGCTCAATTTGTTTTGGCTCTTATAAAAATCCCGTTTACTGAAGAAAAAAGATGTGGGGGAGGGGAACATTTGAGCATAGCCAGGAATTTTTAAAGTAGGGGATTGTACACGTAACCATATCCTCCAAAAGCTATCAGGAGGTTTATGGAGGATTTTGTAGGATTGAGGAAGGTCAAGCGCGGCCACTTAACATTACATTGACTGAATTTTGGAATAAAGATTGCTCTTGACGAAATACTGTTTTGAGATTAAAAAGTTGTGTGTATTTTTCACTAGTTTCTTGAGAAGTGGAATATCTACTGAGCTGAAGCTTCTACAGCTTTAGGTTTTGAACATTCTCCTTTGGATTTTGAGTGGTGTTATTATTGGAAACGAATAAAATGCATGAAGAGCAAATGATGCTATTCGTGCCTTTAAGTACAAAGAATGTGCCACAAAGTTCCTGTACTTTGGATGATTTCAGAAGTTTCAGGAAGTTTCCTAACTAGAAATGCTTTCAGAGCCAAAGAATATATCCCCTGTTCATGAGACCATTGCCATGATCATAGCAAGTGCATGCAACGTGAGTGTCGTGAAGGGAAGTTTTTCTGCCGGGGAAATCCCGATCGTGTTGGATTTCCAATTCCAAGTACATGGTAATGAAGAATTTCCTGTTTACATTTACTTGCCAGGAAGTCTCAAGCCCAATATTGTCTGTAAACTTGGCAAGTTTCCTTCAATTAGAAATTAGTGCATTTATCTGGTCATTTTGAAAAAGCCTTTTCTTCCTTACTTTACGTTCATTTACATGTGTAAATTCATTTGCTATGAATTGCTTATGTTGCTATAGGGAGTTCCAAGGCTTAAAAGACTGTAAACTGTGAATTTCTGCACGTCTGTCAATTTCCGCAATTTAGTGAATTGTAAGTTTGAGTGCGTGATTTTCAAACAATATGTTTTGTGAGAACATGTCAAATGGAAATGGTGTGAAAAATACCTTCCAAAAAGTTGACTTCAGGGTGAAGAAGTGAAAGTGATACTGCTGTTAGTATGGTAATTTTTGAAGATTTGTATCTCTTCGGTACAAACAAAACATCGAAAATCAAATAAAATAATTTTTTTTCTCGAAATGCCTTTCATGGGGGCTGTTTCATGCTGATATAGAAAATCATTTACCCCAAACTTAAAAACATCTGCTTTCATAAATTATTCATGGAAATAATGTATGCAAATGAAATAAATGTAATCTGCCCGGCCAGAGTGACAGACCCTTATAAAAAAAAACTAATTAAACATGCTCGAGACAGCCTCCGGAGATTAAATGCCACTTACTTAGAGGATAAAATCTAATAGATTACCATCCTTTCTACTAAAATGTCTTGCATTGATGAAAGATACAGTGAGTATCACAGTGTCTATGGGCAAGCTGCTGTCTTGCTATTCTGTCGTCTTGCTATTCTCCCTTCTGTTTTGTGGGTGTTTGTGTCCATGTTTGTCACTCTATTTGGCTTTTGTACATGTACATATGACCAATGCTGTTCTTTTCTGGGTTGTATTTTTATTCATTAATGGCCTCTCACATTCAACGAATGTGTCTGACGGAAATGACGCGGAAGTAAAGACTCTAGAATGAAAAATATCAAACTGTCAACTCAAGTGAATGCTCTGTTGGGAGATTACAGAAAAAAAATCATCCTATCTTGCAGTCTCGCAGTGGCTTGAAACGCTAGCAGCAAGAAGAGACAAGAAATTGGAAATAACGTCTATTTGCTCAAGGGACGGGCAGACATTGCAGCGGTCCGCACACCTGGGAATTTTGGACGTTCTGCCCTCGGCATCTGATGCGAAACTCGGACCGTTAGTTTGGCTTTCCGATCCCACAGCGCCTCGGTAGCTTTTGGAGCTTTTTGCACGGAGATCAGTCGGAGATAGAGTAGTGTTGAATTACTAATCAATATGATTTGGACCATTAGTGTAATTGGATCGTCCAATTTTGGGAAACAAGAGTTTGGTTTCATCTTGTGATCACGCTAAACATTTTTGCTCATTAAGGCAATTTTTCTGCACATTTATATCAGACTGTGCTGTGTGCTACCAGTACCGGTACATGTACATGTAGAGCTACGATACATGTAAAAATGAATTTCAAATTGGCATCTTTGTTGTGTACAGTACAGTATGCACTCTGTCTAGAACGTAAATTTATGGAGTTTTAATTTACATGCAATTTCCCAGCAGAACTGTGTTGCTTTTAATATGAATTGACATTCATGAGCAGTCTTGTGCAATCTATTACATGTACATGTACGTGGGCCTTTTTATTGTCAGTCATGAATAGTTGAGCACACTGGCTGTTAGATTTGTCACATTAAAAAACACATTACATTTGCGGCTTAACCCCAACTCTCCATCTGCTAGGTGGTTTTAGACATTTTTTTTGGCAGAATTGACACGGATGTAGTTGAGTCCATCATCACGTTCCCTGCAAGTCCATCACGCGTCCTGCAGTCCCAAGTCAAATCACAAACACTTCAAATGAGCTTTGACAAAGGCATTCCTTTGTTATTGATCATCCACTGTTACTTGTGACTGGACTTGTGACTGGACTTGTGACTGGACTTGTGACTGGACTTGTGACAGGACTTGTGACTGGACTTGTGACTGGACTTGTGATTGGATTTGTGACTGGACTTGTGACTGGACTTGTGACTAAACTTATGACTAAACTTGTGACTAAACTTGTGACTGGACTTGCGACTGGACTTGCGACTGGACTTGCGACTGGACTTGCGACTGGACTTGCGACTGGACTTGTGACTGGACTTTGGATGGACTAGACTACATCCCTGAAAATTGAGGATGGTACATCAGCTACCGGTACATGTTTCAAATGTACAGTACAGAACAGTAACTTATCAAACATTCCCCTTGAAAGTTGAAGTACAGAAAA